AGATCTTCAGTTAATTCATTGTGCATTTTGCCCTCAACTACACACGCTTCCTCCCGCAGTGCTATAGCAAAGGCCTGGTCCGCGTCGCTTTCCACAACATGTGGTACCTTTGGTTCCGCCGCGAGGTCATCCACGAGACGACACGGCTACGCCTGTACAACGGCTAAGTGCTCCCCGTGCTCCTCAACAACTGTGGCACCTGACCTGCTCCCGCTGGGGCCTCCTTGGACGCATCCCCCGGTGTGCCGCCGACATTGCGGCTTACGAGTCCATGCTCCGGTGCTTCATCTATCCGTCGCTGACCCTTGGACCGGCCGTCCCATCTCGTCGCCGCCTCGCGACCAACTCTTTCCTCAAAGCCGCCTCCGACGAGCTCTAGCGCTTACGTGCCTCGCCGACATGCAGGTCCTCCACTCCACCGCCGCGAACCCAACCCAGTGAATGGTGCTGACCAAGCAGATCGTTGCCAGATGCCCTCATACGTCTAACGGTCGGCGTATGTGAAGTCCGTTAGCTGTAGGCGCAAAAGGTTTACTATACATGCTAAGACTATAATATCTTATAAGCAAAACAGGCAATGAAGGAACGCTCCCAAAACTTCGCACCACATGAGCAGGTGCAGCTGTATCACGCATGGCTGAGTGCCTCGCTCGATGCAATCGTCGGAAACGATCAAATTGCAAGTCGTTTCTATGCGGAGTAACTGCAGCCTACAAAACTGTACTCCCGCATACGCACAGCGGTATTGCGAATGACAAGCTGATTGCTGCATGAGAACAACGGTAAAATTTCCAATACTATAGAACAGGTGATGGTCTCTGCATGCACTGGTAAGTCGATCCACCACGAAGTAAGTGCAAGTTGTTTTACTGACTGCGGTGCGAAACCAAAACGAGGCCAGTAAAATTTGGACTTAATGGCGCCAGTAACTCGCATATCCGAACAAGTTATCCGGATAATGGGGTGAAATTTACTGGTGCCGGTGCAGATGCTCTTAGAGCATCTGCACCGGCACCAGCATCTGCATCTGCACGCATCTGCACCAAGATTGATTTTTCAGCTTTCGACTTCGCATCGTACAATTTTGTGGAGGGTTTTATTTTATTATTATTACAAAAGGAAAAGTATGTTTGCTAGATTTTTGGCAGTCAGTCATCCAATGAGCCAATCACATATGGGTATTCTCGTCCAAACGCCACGTGATCCTTGACTTCAACAATTCGGCCATGACGGTGGATCCACTTGTGGTACTTTCAGTATACTCTGATACTCTGAGTACTTGTTGAATCACCTTGACAGTCCAGCTGGCACTCGGGGTTGACCCGGATGAGCTCATTGCTGGACCCCACCGTGGACGAGTATACTCACGGCGTCGCATGCCACTTCTCGACACTGCGCAATCCGACGGTGCTGGACCGGTTAAAGCTTGGCGCCGGCAAGGCTAACTCGAGCCTGAGCGTGCAGATCAACACGGGAACGATCAACGTCAGCTCCGCGCAGCGACCGACCACCCAGTTCGCTGCGTGCGACGTCCACATTCGACTGCACGGCAAGAAAGACGTGTATTTACTGCTGGGCAATGGCGTGGCCGTCCCGTACGCGTTCGAAAGCAGGTTGTTTGCGGTCGAGTTCATGGGCGCCGTGCACCTGGTGCAGCACATCGAGGCGCTCAAGACGGCGACACCGCTGCCGTCTGCCGCTTTCGACGCGATGCTCAAGGAACAGATGAAGTGCACGATGGAGTTCGCTCGGGAGATGTGGAGTTTAGCTATGTGGAGCCAACTGTACCCGTACTCGGGGCTCGTGGAGGGCCTCGGTCAAGCGGTGGACCTGCTCCAGCGCAACCAGCTGCTGCAACTGGCCGACTTGCTGCACGCAGTGTACCTGCAGTTCCACTCGCTCACGGCGATCAATAAAGTCGCAGACGCCAACCATCCCGTGTACTACCGCGCATCTCATATGACGCTCTTGGTGGCCAAAGTCAAAGCGCTGCAGTTGCACACCGCCTTGTACTTGGAGAAATCGTAGAGTCGTATTTTTGTCCTTATTTAATTAATCAAGTGAAGTGTAGTGTTCAGGAATAGCATGAGCCAATCAAAATCGATTTACCTCTTTTTCTTCACGAAGACATCATCTTTTTCTACTTACTTTTGGCATTTTGCTTTTCAGTCAAATTTGCCTATGTTGGGGGATTGGTGAAATCGCCAACAAATCGAGCAAAGGAGAATGATTGGCTATAAAGACTGACGGTAGCAATATGATTAGCTAAAAATATTGATTGATGCATTGCAGTCACAAAGATACCTCTTCAACTCAATTTTATATGCAATTTCGAAGGTCTGGTGACTACATATAGTACTCCGGAGTAATAGATTAATAGTAGATAGAACACACAATATAGTGTGAGTTGGGTAAAAATCGCAGAAAAAGAGGTAAAAAAGTACTAACATTGTAAGAACTTGGAACCACATTTTCACTTTCTAAAAATATCTCCATGGAACAGCTTTACAGTATCCCTCAAAACTTCAATTTTTTACCGAAAATGGCTGGGACATATTTGAGAAAAGATTATAATTGTGTTTACTGTGCGGACGGATATGGTGGTGCCGTGGTGGTCTCGACGTGTTGCAACTCGAATACGTTGGTGAGGGATGCTACAACGGCATCTTGAACGTCCTCCATGGTGACAGTTGGATGGAAGTGCTGGATGCTGGACACAGCTTTGTCGTGGAGGCCACACGGCACAATGCGGTCGAAGTCCGAGAGGTCGGTCGAGACGTTCAAGGCGAAGCCGTGCATGGTGACCCACTTGCTGGCGTGGGTGCCCACGGCGGCGATCTTGCTCTTGGGGAATGCGTGGCGGGCGTCGGGGACCCATACGCCGGTGAGTCCGTCGACGCGCTCTCCAGGAATGTCAAAGTGGCCAAGAGTCTGAATCACCACCTCCTCCACTTGTCGGAGGTACCAGTGCAGATCCTTCTTGAATGGAGACTGCGACAGGTTCAGGATGGGGTACACTACCAACTGTCCTGGCCCGTGGTACGTGACTTCGCCCCCGCGGTCGACCTTGATGAGCTCAAAGTCGGATGGTTCCGATGGGTCAAACTTGACGTTCGCCATGGACGCACCGCGACCGAGGGTGTACACACGTGGATGTTCCAGCATCAAGCATGCGCTCCTGAGAGAAGCGTCATGGAAGCGCTCCTTGATGAGGCGCTGCTGCCAATCCCATGCCTGGCGGTACGGCACGCGGCCGAGTCGGTGGATGACACACGACATATAATAATATGAGGATAGGATTCCGGATACGAGTAGCAATATTATCCGAACCCTGAAAGTCCAAAATGTCGATGGATGCTTCGGGCAAGTGATGCCAAGTGGCGATGGCAAGGTTGACATGTCTGCATACTCGTAGGAGGAGGACCGATGGGTTCGCGCAAGAAGCTTCGGAACAGCGTATTCTCCAGCTCCGACGAAGACGATGCTGCTCCGCGGTCATCGCCCTTGCCGAATCGAGCACGGGGTTTGTTTCACGACACTGCAACCGACCAAGTCCTCAACCGACGAGGTCTGTTCGACACGAGTCACGAGGATGAGAAGGACCTAGAGATGAAGATCAAGCAGCGTCAGATGCAGAAGAAGGCCCACTGGGACACCCTGCAAGCGAAGCTCCATGATGCGATGCTGACCGCGGACATGCACAAGAGCGACGCGGAAGTGCTGTCCGTCCAGTTGGCAGCGGCGCTGGCCAAAGTGGACAAGCGGAATCGCCAGCTGCAGAACGCCAAGTCCCTCGTTCATTCTCTGCAGGGCGACTTGGCGCATCTACAGTCTCTGTTGGACGAGGTGTCGCTAGGCCGTCGTCGGGACCAAGAGGTCGGTAAATTCCCTTCAAATTGCAAGTCTCACCAGATGTAGGCTTGGGAAGGGGAACGGAACGGATTCGTGCAGGAAATCGAAACGTTGAAAGCAGCAGCAACTCCCAAGGCGCCTCCCATATCGCCTACAACGTTGCTGGGGAAGGTGTGGTCCAGAAAGACCCCGGGAAAGGAATTCTCTTCGGCAAACGAATTCCTTTCGGTTCCTGTTCCGCCAATGCAGCGACCTGCCATGTTCACCGTGCCTGTGATCCCTACGGATGACGAAGAGTCTTCGGATAGCATTGTGGGGCACAGTAGCAGTGACCAAGACGACAGCGATAGTGACATTGAACATCAGCCGCCACCTAGTACTACTAGTATGGCGCCCGACCCGACCAACGATTTTGGTCCTAGTACTACTAGTATCCCCCTTGGCGTGTCGCGGATGAACTACTACATGGAAGCCCGCATGAAGAAAGAAGCGGAAAAGCGCGACAAAGAACTGCAGGAAAAGCTGGAAAAGTCCAAATTGCAAGAAGAGTTTGACAATGAATGGGCGGCGCTGGCCCGAGAAACCCAGGAACTCAAAAAGGCCAAAAAGCTCAAAAAGCCAACCAAAACCAACACACGCGTGAGTATACTATTCGTAGTAATACTAGTAGTAGTCATCAACTAACGGCGAGTAGATCCCCCGCCAACGCCCGGGTAGCTTCAAGCAGCAAATGCCAGCTAGTACTCCATCTACTAGTAGTAGTACTACGTCGACACCAGTAACCCCAAGCCAACCCCGCGCCAGTGACCCGCAGTCGAGTGACCAGCCTTCGAAACCAATCACCACTCCCAGTCCGCCTCCAGTGACCAGCCCTCCGCTGCCACCCGAACCCTCAGAAGCAGACATGGAGCTGTATCGACGACAGCAAGCGAGGCTCCATGACTTGCATACGTCAGGTGCATATACACAGTTAAGTTGTTCCAGCTGATTATGGCGAGGTAGAGCGCACAAAGCGAGAAAAAGCCGAAGAAGCGGACGTCGTGAGGCGGCATCTGCATGCGGCGGTGACCCAGTGGGCTCTGGGGAAGCCGCTGCTGGGGCTACTGAACTCGCTGCATGAAATCCCAGAGCTGCAAGGCGTCATCGACGACCACAGTCAGGTCTCGAATGACCCTGACAGCATCAAAAAAGGATACCGCGCGCTTATCCGGATCATCCATCCGGATAAGCTGCGGAATGCATCGGTTCAGCAGCAATTGGTGGCGAACGAAGTGTTTACGGTCGTCAACCAAGCGTTTGACGGGTTCAAACAGGCAGGCGGCTTGTCGTAGTTAGTAATTACTACTACGTAGTACTAGTAGATGCGTTTCGGGTAACTGGAGTGTAACTGGCATGTAACCGGAGTGTAACTGGCTGGCATGAAACGGAGTGTAACTGGCGAAAAGGTGTGTAACCGATACAACGGGAATGCAGCACATGGCAGGCGTCAAAGGCGCGCGGGCGCTGGCCAAAGCCAAGCCGCCAATAAGACCAGAATGGAGTGTTGGTGATAATAGTGACATATAAGTCGTTTTGGAGGGTACATTGTATGCGTTTTTTAGGACTGTAATAACTCTGATCCAAGCGAGCAGAAGTTATCTGAATCGGAGCTGGTAATTTGAGTGCAATATGTTATGATTATTCCAACTAGATATATGGGCAGGCAGCCAGAAAAGTGCAGCGACACTCCAAGCATTTGGACGAGGCGAAAACAGACTTATACTTCAAGGCCACTGCCGACAAATTGGACGAGCGACGGCGATTGCTGGGGAGGTTGGAGGACAAAATGAGAACTGAACTCGACGAGGTACTAACTAAAGTAACTAAAGGGAAATGACGTGGCAGGATTATAGGGGCGGGTGAGAGCCGAAGAGACGATGCGCAAGCAAGCCCAGCTCAACAAACTGTACGAAAACATCGAAATCGATCTCCAGCGGAACGTGGTAATACATGAATCTGGGGAAATTATTTATTTGACTATGTTGGTAGACCAAAGCACGAGAACTGGAAGAGCTCGAACTTGGATTAAGAGACAGAGAAGCTCAAGTGGCCCAGTTGCAACTCCAGGCACTGGAATGGCAAAATCAAAGCGAACTCAATAAGAAGGTAACTAACGACTTGGAACCCCGAAACCCCGCATTCACTCTGGACAAAGGTTGAAGTGCAGTTGAACCAGCGACAAGCAGAGCTCGAGTTCAAAGAAAAGGTGGGCTAGTATTACTAGTAGTTCATCCATGTACTAATGAATCTGCAGGAAGTGAGTTTGTTGGGGGAGCGACTGGCCATGCAAGAATTGCATGTAATGGACTTGACATATTACGAGAATAGATATCAATATTAGTATGATTAATTCCATGCAGTTGAAAACAGTACAAAGACAACTGGACCAACTGGAGAGGGAAATCGACGGCGAACGAGTGAGGATGGGACGACTCCATACTGACGAGACTCGCGCTTGGAGAGCACAGCAACAAATCGAAGCTCTGGAGCTAGAAAGGGTATACTAGTTCATACTATATATATATACTCTTCCGTATTGCATAAAACATCACGAATATATATATATATATTTCCATAGGCTCGAGATCAATTTCAGATGGAGCAACAGATTTCAACTGAACGGGTGCATATATTAACTATTCTTGGGCGAAACAAATAGAGTTTGAACGGCTTTGTAGCTCCAACAAGCTGAATTGCAAATTCGAAAGGCAGAAACTCAATTGGCCAGCGATCAAGCAGCGATAACCGGTCAATTATCGGCCCTTCAGAACAAGACCATGGCGCTGCAGCAACGAGAGTTTGAGCTAAACTTGCTACGTATGATAACAGGTTTATAATGTTGGACTTAGCCAGATCATTGAAAGTAGATGAAGACATTTTGGGTCGGGAAAGCCGCCTTTTGGGCATCAGGGACGACTGGCAGCGAGCTCAAGACGAGCAGGCGAAAGCGTGGGCTACAACTCAAGCCGAGTTCAAAGCCAGAGTACAAATATATATTATTTATACTGAAGTATATACATATATATGGTATTCACAGCATCATATAGGAATGGCGACTGCAAATATTCGCGGCAGATGCCGAAGCGCAAGTGGAAATCACAGCGAAGAAGCAACACAAGTTGGATGCAAAGCTTCTCGAGATGGAGCGAGCGTTAGGAGCTGGCGTCATCTTGTGACAATCGCATATAGTAGTTCCGTAAGATATTGTAATATTTGATTTTTGGTTCAATCATCAATTTAAAAATTCAATAAACTCACACCGTCAAGTGTCTATGAGGTATAAACGTTGAAACGGTTATCGGTTTCATATTCCCATCACGGTATGAATGCAGCCAGGGGAGACCCCACCGTTTCCGCCGCCGTTGCGGACGCCCCGCGAAACGAGCTGGAGAAACTCGAGCAACTCTTGACGGATGTCGAAGTCGAGCCAGAGCTGACAAAGGACCAGTTCATCGATATCCTCAAGGAGCGGCTTAACCGGCGCAATATGCTCATCGACGTTATCCGGCGCGCGTATTACCACGACGTTGTGGTCATCAAGGAGGGGCTGCTGGCCCAGGAAGCGGGAGGTTCGGACGAACGGGTGAACGCCCTCCCGTCCGTCGACCTCCGCGACACGCTGCCGCTATTTGCGCCGTCAGAAACGTACTTAAAGGTGCATCCGTGTGAAAAGTGCGGCGGAGTGGTCGAGCTCGTCCACGGAGAAACCAGGGAACTGAACGACGCGAGGCAGCAGTGCCACCGGGCACTCAAAGCCGAGCAACATATGAAAGGTACCTACTCTTTGGCGAAAAATCGATGGGATATACTGGATTTTGAGATAGGAACTGTGCACCGACTGCGGGGAGAGCTCAAAGGCGCGACGGAAATCTCCGACGCGCTGCATCAGCGGATTCGAGGCCTTATGAAGGAAAACGCGTTTACGCTGGAGCAGCTGCAAGTGGCTCGAAAGGCTGAGAGGGACCAGAAGAGTTCGTTGGCAGAGCTCAAGTCCAAGCTCCAGCATGCTACGGCCACGGCGGACCGGGTGGCGAAGTTGACCCATCAAGTAAGTATGCATAGACCCCCCCCTATGCCATTACACTTGAAAATTGTATGGCGTGTTGTTTCGTAGGTGAATGTGCTGACGTTGGAGTTGGACCAGTCCAACAAGCAGAGGACGTTGGCCGAGACAAAGAGGGATGATTTACAGGATGAAGTAATAATATAACATGTTACTGTATATTCATTGATTGACATTGAATGGTTAGTATGACCAACTCCAAGACTCGTTTACGATGGAGAAGCAGTTGCGAGAAAAGTTTGAAGGCGATGCCAGTACGTTCCACAGTCAGTACGAAGCCAGCAAGGCCGAGTGCGCGGTGCTGTTGTCGGAGCTGCAACTTCTCACGGAAAAGCACAAAGTGCAGGTGGAAGTGGACGAGATTCTGCAGACGGCGCTGTCGAAAGTGAAGGAGGACTTGGCACACCATGTAACTCGATCGGAGCAGATCAAGCGACAGCTGGAAGACCAGCTCATGGCCGAAGAAGTCGCCCGGGAAGACGCCCAGGACAAGTTTGTTGAGGAGAAGAAGCGGAATAAGCAGATGCAGCGGGATATGGAGGCAGCCCAAAGAGAAGCCGCCGTGTACCAGGACCAGTTCAACGAACTTCTGCTTAAACGAGACGTGGAGCTGTCTGCCAATCAAGTGGCGTTTGAAGCCCAGTTTAGTAGCACGGCCGAGTTGAATGCCAAGCTGGTGGGGAGATATGTTGATACTAGGATGACTTGGTTTCATGCGATTTATACTGTGGTAGACTATGCAAGTGGAGATTTTGGGCATGTGGGAGAACGAGTGGCTGTCGCAGCTCCGATCTCGCGTGTGTGACGACTCCGATGACGACGGTGACGACTCGGATGACGACCAACACGACTGGAGTGACAACGAAGACGACGGCGTCCAAAATGACTTTGCCAGTCCAGTACCCGACCACCGATCCATTGAGTTCAAGTCGTCACTTGTTATATCTCCAACACGCCTCCTCCCGTCCAAGCTAAACGTGCCCGAACAACCCGTGGTGACGAAAGTGGTAACTAGTACTATATTTATCATATTGGCTAGCCAATTGGATATATATATATATATATATATATATATATCGTTCTCGGGTGAATTCAACGCTCTGATATAGTCACTGGTGGAAGATGTCATTGTACCAATTGAAGACGACGTGGCCAAGAAGCGAAAGGACGCGAAGCGCGGGACGGTCGTGCGGAGGTCCCAGACCAGCTCTGAGACCATTTCCATGTTGAAAGACATTGAAGATGCCAAAGAAAGGAACAAGACGCAGAAGCACCGCATCCACGACTTGGAGAAAATTCTAGCGTCGTCCAAAATTCAAATCGCCGAACTGTCCATGTCGAACCAAGTGCTGCAGAGCTCACTGCAGGATATCACGCTCAAGGCGACCGAGGCCAATCAGAGCGAGAGCCAGACCACCGCCAGCTTAAGAGACGCGCGAGACCAAGTGGAGGTATTAACCAAGAACTTGCAGCGCATGGAGAGAAAGGTGGAGGCATTTGAAGGGTTTATCCTGCAACTGGGCTCGGAATTGTATTATTTGGCCGAAGACCCGACGCTACTGACGCCCGTGGCCGTGTCGCTGGTGCTGGATGTGCCCGAAGACAAGGCGGGTGCGACTCTCAAGTACGAGTAATTCGTTTTTTGCTGAACCCCGAAACGCCAAAACCCCGTAACCCCGTAGAAATGGCCTCACGATGGACATGATGGCCAAAAAGCAAGCGATTCAACAACAGCTGTTCCTGGACCAAGTGCTCAACAACTACATCGTCGCGTACTCGGAACGCGTTGAGATTGTATGAAAATATATATCACGAAATATATATATATATATACTACTTCGTGGACTAAGAAGTGAATGATGGTAGTGCTGTGGGAATATCAAACGAGCCCAGGACTCGCTCTTGGAGCTGTCTCAAGATTTGATGCTGAGCAAGCGGAAGATCGACAACCAAATGCATCTCTTGCAGCAAAGTGCCGTGGAAACCGAGATGCTCAAGCGCAGTCTCGAAGAGGAAAAGATTGCAACCAGCAAATTGGACCGAGTGGTGAAAATCACTGTCGCAGAACTCAACGACGTCAATGAGAAGATGAGAGGGCACAAGAAGATGGTATAATATATTTCAAAATATATATTTGATGATATACCAACACGATGACATAGGTGGAAGACGTGGACGTCGAGCGCAACAAATTGCAGGAAGAAAAGCGGAAAATCGCATTCATCATGATGGACAAGTCCAAGACCCTCGACAGGGAAATCGACCTGAACGAGCAATTGACCAAACAATTGCAAAGCATGGAGGCCGAGCTGGCAAAGACCACCGACGCCAAAACCAAGTTGTATGCCGAGGTATATTATATATATATATTGTGTTTATATATATATATTGTGTATCGAAGCTAATGATGTATTGTAGCTGCAAGTGTTTTTGGATGACGTGGCGTTCCGAAAAGCCACCAACCAAGACGTGGGGGTGATGGTCGAGCCTGTGACTCGAGATGCTGAAATGCAATCAGACAAGTGGAAACCCCAGGTAATATTACACAATAAGAAGTAGTACCAAGTAGGAGGAGAATTCCCAAGTTTGGACGTAGGGGCTGGTGCTACGGCAACGAAATAGCCCCAACATGATGCCCCAGAGATACGAAGGGCCAGCTAAGGTGATGGTGGCGTGCCCCAGCCTGGACACTCTGCTGACGGAGAAGAGGGACCGCCCCAGTACTGCCGTGACCAACCAAACGATACCCATCGCAGCGTGGACGCCGTCAGGTCGAGCGCAAACCCCAGACCAGCCCAAGCGCAAACCCACTCGAAACGTCAACTTGCCTCGGGTCTAAACATCGAGATTAGCACGGAAGATTACCACCATCTAGTTGTTCTTCTTGAAACACCAACGGTTTGATTTCAATCGTTGTAATTATAGCTGGAGAATGGCTATGTATGGGGATTGTTTAGACAGTAGAAATGGAGCCACCGTGGTAGAACTCCAGGGCGTTCGAAGTAAAAATAGACATGGCCCTGGATCGGTGCAGATCATACGTGTACTTTTGGCAGCATCGGTACACCCTTGAATCGAACAACGATTATTCAGATTGTCCACGAGGAAAATAGCGGTTTTGTCTAGTAAGTATACTTGGTGCTTCTGAAGGCACTCCATTCCACTAGGAAGCAATACATTATATGGTTAGCATAAGCGAGAGCTTTCAACTGAGCATTAATGTTTGTTTGCGAATTGTGTCATCAACAAAATTGCAGTATTTATAGTCCCCGGTAGTTCGTTGGAGCTTGAAATCAAAATAGATCCAGAAGTTGGCCATATAGCTTATACATCCTGTGCAGCCAGCAAAACAATTAATTTTGACCCTTTCTACGACAGTACCATGCAAGTGATCTACCTCCTTCTAACGTTGGGCTTGGCTCCCTCTGTGGTGCACGCGGACTGCGACGCCGACGTCACCACCGCCAACTCCGTCACGTTGACTCAAGCGTGCACGGACGACCTACAAGGAGGCCCTCCGCCGACGCTCGAGACTGTCTTTGCCGATTACCGAACCAACGCCAACTCGATTTACACGTACGGACTGTGCGGGTCGACGACGTGCAATGCGGAAATCGCTGCATCGACGTACCCGACGTGCACTCCCACGACGCCGACGAGTTACACAGCGGAGATCGCGGGGTTTACCGCAGCCTGCACGGCCTTGACCGGTGCCATCACGGGGACGTGTACTGCGAGCAACATTGCCGATAACCTGTGGGCCAAGAACCTTGTGAACCTCGACGCGGCGTGCGCGACAGCGTTGAGCAAGACTGCTGGCACTGGGTGGTACACGAATGCGTTTAGCCTCCTGGACATCACGACCGCCAACACGATCACGACCAACTACTGTGCCTCCACAGACTGCGTCGCGCTGGCTACGAGCACGAAGGCTGCGTTGGCAAGCTGTACCGATGCTGCGGGCAACAATTTGTTCACGGACATCGGAGCCGTCATCAACCATTGTGTTTTCCTGGGTACGACTACAACCGTAGCTCCAACTACAACCGCAGCTCCAACTACAGCCGCAGCTCCAACTACAACCGTAGCTCCAACTACAACCGTAGCTCCAACTACAACCGAAGCTCCAACTACAACCGTAGCTCCAACTACAACCGTAGCTCCAACTACAACGACCACCACCACAACACCCGCTCCAGTTGCCACCCCTGTGCCTCCAAGTACAGTGGCCCAACCGACTACCACACCTTGGACGAACCCCACCATTACCCCATTGTCTACAACATTGCCTCTAACTTCCTCGACCCCGCCTACTACGACGACCATTCCGCCTTCGGTGGGCACTTCGACCCAAATTAAGATGAGCTTTGGCCTCACCTGTGACTGCACCTGCCACTTGTAAGGCTACTTGAACTTGTACCAGCAAATATATTCTAAAGTCAAGCCTTGTATTTCTATTTCCACTCCTGACCAGTGTGGGTATTTTTCGTTGAACTGTGTACAACTGGTACTGTACCATCGACGGCACACTACATCGACGAATCATCGTCGAGCCTCTCAAGTCTGGCACATTTCAGTTTTAACTTAAGTTCGAGATTTTTTAATCTGGCATCCAGTCAACTTCCACATGTTCATATTGTTGTGATTTCACAGTGAGGACTGGGGATAGTTTTATAGACTTGACAAAAATGGTGTAACGGTAGCGAGCTTCACAGAGTAAATTGGAAAGTGATTAGATTGTCGTCTTAAACTACTAACTACGACCATGAAGTAAATGTTCTTTCTCTACGGCTTCTTCAACGGCCTTGCCCGCTAATGGTGCGAAAATCTTTAGCTTGTTCGACAGTCTTGCCATCGTTCTCTTAACGATGCGACAAGCTTTATTCTTGGTCGGCAACCTTGCCATCATTACATTCTCCCCCGGTTGTCGACTTGGCAGCTTGGATTCTTGTACGCAGGTCTTCAAGCAA